CCGGACTTCTCGGGCCTTCGGTCCCAAGAGGCTCCCGGAGGCCCTAAGAGGCCCCTAAGAGGCCCCCAAGAGGCCCGCGAGGAGCGGTGATCCTGATGATGATGATGATGATGATGATGATGATGATGATGATGATGATGGTGGTGATGATGATGATGATGATGATGATGATGAGGATGATGATGAGGATGATGATGCTAGTTATGATGATGATGCTGCTGCTGCTGATGCTGATGCTGATGCTGATGCTGCTGCTGATGATTCATGACGATGATGATGATCATCATGATGATGATTCTGATGATAAGGATCATGATGACGATGATGATGAGGATGATGATGTTGATGATGATGACGATGATGATGATGCTGATGCTGATGCTGTTGACGATGATGATGATGCTGATGCTGATGATGATGCTTATTATGCTGATGATGGGGATGATGATGATGATGATGATGATGATGATGATGATGATCAGGATCAGGATCAGGATCAGGATCAGGATCATGATGATGCTGATGATGATGATGACGTTTGATGATGATGATGATGCTGATGATTATGATGACGATGATGACGATGCTGATGATGATGATGCTGATGCTGCTGATGATGATGATGATGATGAGGATGATGATGCTGATGCTGCTGCTGCTGCTGATGATGATGATGATGATGCTGATGATGATGATGATGATGAGGATGAGGAGGAGGAGGAGGAGGAGGAGGAGGAGGAGGATCAGCAGGTGGAGCGAGGAGCGAGGAGCAATGAGGAGAAGAAGAAGGGAGGAGTAGGAGGAGCGAGGTGGAGGAGCGCGGAGCGAGGAGGAGGAGGATAAGGAGGAGGAGGAGGAGCTATTCGTCATACGCGCTCATACTGAACGAAAGTAAATTCCGAGACGCCCTGGGACTGAGGTGTTCAGGCCACTTTCGCCTGAGGCATCCTCGCAAACCTGACCTCGGAGATGCCCCTTATGTTCTTTGTCCCATTATGTGATGTTTTTGATGACGATGGTGAGGTTGATGATGATGATGATGATGATGATGATGATGATGATGATCATGATGATGGTGATGCTGATTTTGAGGATGAGGATGAGGATGATGATGATGATGCTGATGATGATGATGCTAGTTATGATGATGATGATGATGCTGATGATGATGATGATGCTATGATGATGCTGATGATGATGCTGCTGATGATGATGCTGATGATGATGATGCTGATGCTGATTGATGATGCTGATGATGATGATGATGATGATGATGAGGATGATGATGATGATGATGATGATGATGATGATGATGATGATGATGATGATGATGATGATGCTGACGAGGATGCTGATGATAATGATGACTACGATTACGACAGGGACGACGACAAACACGACGATGATGACTACGCCAACAACAACGACGACGACGACCACGGCGACGACGACGACAATGATGATCGCGACGATGATGACGGTGGTAGTGGTGATGCTTGTGATCCTTTTGGGCTGTCTGGGGCGCCTCTTGGACGGTCTTTGGGCCCTCTTCGACCGTCTTGGGACCGTCTTGGGGGCCTCTTGAGCCGGCATGGGAGCTCCTAGGGCCGTCGTGGGACGATCTTGGGAACCTCTTGGTCCGTCTCGGAGCGGCAGAAATTCGAGAAGGCGAGAAGGCCAAAAACCTTCAAACACGTTAGGACAATCGTGGATTTTTGCTTTGTGGGGCCCTCTTGGGAGGCCTCTTGGAAGCCTTTTGGGCCATCTTGGCAGTATCTTGGGCCGTCTTGGGGCCATCGTGGGACATATTGGGGCCATCTTGGGCCGTCTGGGGCTCCTGCGGCTCTCTTCGGAGCTCCTTCGTTCGGGCAATCTTGGAGGCCTCTCGGGCCGTTCTCGCCGCGTGGTGGCGTCAGCATGAGAATCTTGGGGTGACCTGGAGCAGCCATGATTTGAAGTTCCTCCCCCCGTTGGCTGTTTGGTGACGCGGCGGGACTCCCTAGCAGACAGTCAACAGGAGGCAGGAAACAGGACTGGAGAGACAAAAGGACAAACAACAAATGACAACACCTAATGCATGACGGCAGACCGCATACAAACCTTCGCAGCCTTGCGCCCCCAGAGGGGGCCGGCGGATATATAAATGTATATATATATATATGTGTATATATATATATATATATATATATATATAGGTATCATATATACATGTATAGATAGAGAGAGAGAGAGAGAGAGAGAGAGAGAGAGAGAGAGGGAGAGAGAGAGAGAGAGAGAGAGATATGGCCGCGGCGGCGAGCGAGGATCGGCGGATCCCGACAAGCCGCTTCGTGCCATCGCCCCTCTCTTCGGCGCATCCGATTGGAGCCATGCCAGTTTTCGGGCCATACCCCCAGCCCCGGGCGGCCGATCTGGACGATCCGGGCGCCCCCTGGAACTTTGTCGACGAGGCACAGCCTCCGAGGACGGACGCGCACCTCGTCGAGGAGGTCGGCATGAGAGCCATGTCGGCTCGAGCTGCCCGCCTGCCTCCATGGCTCGCTCGGGCACGGCGCCGCGCGGGCGCCGCGCGGAGGGGCCCCGTGGGGCGGCTGGGCGCAGGGAGCGCGCCGCCGCGGTGCTGTGCGCCGCGGCGTGGGTCGCAGCGAGGTGGCCTCTGCAGCAGCTTCGTTTTTCGCGGCCACCTCCCCCCCCCCCGCCTCCTTCGGGGGTGGCAAAGGGAGGTCTGACGATTTGTCCAAGGGGGATTGTCCGGATGGGTTGTCCAGATCTCCGCTGGTTTGTCCAAGGGGTTGTCCTGGGTAGGTCGTCATGGCGTCGTTGAGCAGCGTGGTTTGTCTGGGTTGTCCGAGGGGGTATCGGGGGATTTGTTGTATCGGATAATTTTTCCATTTAACATAGTCTGGGGGCATATCATGGCCAGGACCATGACATCTCCCCAGATGTCGTGACCCCTTTTTTTGGGGGGGGGGTCAATGCCGTCTTTGGCCGCCCCTGGGCCGCACGCCTGCCTCGGGCCCTGATCTGCGAACCCCCCTCTTGAACGCCCCCGACTCCTCTCCCTCGTCCACCTCTCGCTGCTGGGCCCCCCAGGTGGGGTCGGAGCAGATGGGGTCGGAGGATCGCGCCGCATCGCCGATGCGTCGGCGGTGCGGCCCGATGTGGAGCCCGGTTTTCTCCGCGCGGGCGTCGCCGATGCATCGTCGACGTCGCCGATGCGTCGCCGATGCATCGGCGGTGCGGCGTGCGGCGCGACCCTCCGACCCCATCTAGTCGGACCCCGTTTGGGAGGTCTCCATTTCCCCACCTCTTACCCCTCCTCCACCTCTTGGGGCTTCCTCCAGAGCTGCGACGTGCAGACAGCTATCGAGGCGCTTCTTGCTGCAACGACGTGGAGAGCCGCCAACATCACTATCCCCGGCTGGAGCGCATATTGTACCAAGCTTTGCGACATGGCTTACGACGAGATTCCTTTATGTGACGCCGTAGCAGGGCGGTGGTGTGCAAAGTGCTGGACGGATCCTACATCCATTGCTCAGCGGCTGCATGGGGTCACCAACTCAACTTTTTTGGTCGAGGTTAAGGGCTTGATCCACAAGCGGACTCCGAAATGTCAACACCCCAATCCGTGCACGAGGAGAACGCGAACGCTGGTGACCCCGACGTCCCTAAGAAGAAGCGTACTCCGCAGACGGCATACTTGCTGGCATTGCAGGAGAAGCTCTGAACCGACACCATGCACATCACATCCGTCGCCGTCTGCTTGCGTGGTTTCCTGAACGTCTGGGAGATCAACTGGCTCGCAGTCCTCAGGACCCAGCTCGGGCGCTGGCTGAATATGTATAAGACCGGCTCCAACGCCGTGCTACAGCGTGGGCGGCCAGATGGTACCCGACATCTTCATCGGCCCCCGTGTGTGCAACAACGAGCAGGACTGGATGGACTGGCGTGAGAACTGCCAACTTGGGGTCCTTCTGCGCGACGGCCTGCAGCCGCTCTACGACTCGCCAGCCCACCGCCGACAATCGCACGTGACCTGTGCAGGCGGGCTTGGATGGATGGCGCTTTTGGGCGACGTTTTCTCGAACGTGTTCACTCTTCGGCTACGCTGGACTGGCTCAAAGTGGCATTCAAGTACAAGTAGACCGACGTGCAGAATTTACCGCCGAACGTCGGGCTCAGAGAAGATGCATTGAGCAGCGCCAGTCGTTCCTGCCCGCGGATGAAGGAGCAGCTGACAGCACGACCAGTGATGACCTGAACGAAGACGGCGTGGACCTTTTTGGTGCCGCTTCGATGCTTTGGGACCAGCAAGCACGTTGGCCGAAACTTCACCACTTCCCCGCCTGCGCGTACGTGGGCAAGAATGAAGTCGTTGGCAGGAGCGTTGGCTACGTCACACAGGGTGCATGTTCTGGCCGCGGAGCGCAGCTGCCACTTCGGCTGCGATGCCAGAGATGGCGTGAATCACTACGTGGTCGTCCAAGGATGCTTCACCACATGGCGCGTCCTCGTGGCATCCTCGTCACTACGCTCCTCAATCAGTTGTTTCCTCCCTTCTTTGAAAGCCAAAACAGCAGGTTCTCAGAGCCTGGCTTGACATCTTCTGGCAATTTTGGTGTGTACGAAGGGGTCCCAGAATACGACCAGACACAGTGTATCTTTGTATTCAAGGGGTACGCGTGGTGTCTTCGCACAGTCGGAAACAGAGGTGTCGTTCGTGACAGCGTCGGCCTGCCCCGTGTGGTTGGTTGTGGCAGCTTCTGAAGAGGATCGCCAACCACACGCCGAAACGCTGGAGACCGACTGGGCCAGGGGTGCCCGAAAGAGTGGGCATACTCAGTCCTAGACCAAAAAGGAAACCAAAGGAAGTTGCGCAGTCAACTGCTTCTCGGCGACCCTGGCGCGGCACAGCCGTTGCCAGGCGAGCCTGAGGCGGGTGCACAAAGAATGCCTTGTATGTTGCACCATTATGGATATGCTTGGCAAAAGATTGGTTATCAGCCGAAAGTCTCTCCAGGAACTCGTCTTCGGTGGTGCGGCCTGTTTCCCAACAGTCAGAGAGGTAGCAGTGGTGGCTTTACCAAAAAGGGGGCTTCGCAGGTGCGCTCTGATTACCCACGAACGCCTAACGCAGGGGTCGGGTGGCTCACACCCGTGGGCCGCGTGGTTAGTGTCCGCTCAAGGAAGGGGGGCAATCGCCTGACTTAGCTGCGGTTGTCGGCGGTGTCACGACAGAGGGGGCAGTTGTTTCCTCCCTTCTTTGAAAGCCAAACCAGCAGGTTCTCAGAGCCTGGCTTGACATCTTCTGGCAATTTTGGTGTGTACGAAGGGGTCCCAGAATACGACCAGACACAGTGTATCTTTGTATTCAAGAGGTACGCGTGGTGTCTTCGCACAGTCGGAAACAGAGGTGTCGTTCGTGACAGCGTCGGCCTGCCCCGCGTGGTTGGCTGTGGAGGTCCTGGAGACGGACTGGACCAGGGCTGCTCGAAAGAGTGGGCATACTCAGTCCTGGACCAAAAAGGAGACCAAAGGAAGTTGCGCAGTCAACTGCTTCTCGCGACCCTGGCGCGGCACAGCCGTTGCCAGGCGAGCCTGAGGCGGGTGTACAAAGAATGCCTTGTATGTTGCACCAATATGGATATGCTTGGCAAAAGACTCAATCCGCTGGGGCTCGGCGACGGACAAGAATACGAGTGTGAGAATGGCATCAGTAGATCGATGGCCAGGATCGCCGTCGCGTGCAAAGCCTATCACGTCTCCAAGTACAAGGCCAAGACGCAGCTCCTGACGTACCCAGAGCATTGCAACTCGTTCGAAGCTGCGCGGCGCGCCCTGCGGCTGCCTCCTGACCTCGCGGGCGGCGCGGGCGCCCGCGCCTTTGTCCCTCTCTGACTCGGCTCGGGAGGCGACCCGCAGCCCCCGCCGCCGCGGCGGCCCGTTTTGGGCGGCTGGATGGAACCGCGATCCCCGTGGCGACGTGCGCTCCTCCTCCTCCTCCTCCTCCTCCTCCTCCACCTCTTCCTCCTCTTCGCCGTCAGGCCAGGGTATTTTTAAAGTCCCTGCCACCGCGGCCAAGCGGTGCAGCCTGGGCGCCGTGTGGCACCTCCTGTATTAGGTGCGCCGCCGATGATGATGCGGAGGCGGGCGCCCGTGGCTCACAGCGTCCAACCACCTTGGTTGGAATGCTACGAGCCGCTGGCATATCGTGTGCCGTGTTCTGATGAGGTTCTGGCGCTGGGTACCGTTGCGTGTTGTCTTGCTGGATAGGCCCAGCACTTGACCAATCCCGCCCGTGGTGGGGCCTCCTCCCGCCCCGCCTGTTGGCTGGGGAAGGGGCCAGGGGGCGACCTCACCCTGCGGGGTTGCGGTCGCTGGTCCACTGCTCGGGTCCTGCCCGTTGCTATCCTGTTTGGTGGTTTCCCTCTCAAGCACGGCGTTTCCGGCTCTATTGGGGGTTAGCCAATACTAGGAGGCCGGAGGACGGATTCAGCTTGTGCCTGCCTGTTTCCTCTTTGTACACGTGTGCCCCTTGCTAAGGGAAGCTATGATGTGTGGCAGGTTTGCTAGGGCATGCTCGCTCGTGCCATGATCGGCGCCACGTTTGCCCGTGTGGGCATGATTAACGTTCTTCCCTCGCGGACAGACGAACATGTCTCCTCCTCTCTTCACATCTTCCTTGTCCTTCCCTCCTCATCCCTATCCCTCCTCGAATCAATCATCACCATCATTACCATCGTACTCGTCATCGTCACCGTCATCATCAGTATCCGCATCATCATCACCATCATCAAAATCAACATCACCATCACCAACGTCAACATCAACATCCACATCAACATCAACACCCACATCGACATCATCATCGTCGCCATCGTCATCGTCTTCGTCAGCGTCGTCATCGCCATCATCATCATTATCAGTGCCATCACCAGCGTAATAATCGTCATAATCGTCACCGTCATCACCATCATCACCGTCGTAATTGCAACAGTTTTCATCATTGCCATCACCACAACCGTCTTCATCATATTCAGCGTCGTGCTTAACATCATGATGGTGGTACTCATCATCATCATCATCATCATCACCATCATCACCATCATCCTCATGCTCATCGTTGTCATCATCATCATCATCGTCCGTTAGATCGACCCCTTATTATCCTTACCTCCTGTGTTTGCCCTCCTCCGTGCGCCTCCTCTCCCTCTTCTGCTCCCTCGTCGTCGCCCCCCTGCTGTCCTCGCAGGTGGCCCGTTGAACCTGCGGCGTTCGTCTGCGGGCCCGCCGCCCCGCGGAGCAAGGCCCCAGCGCGCCGGATGGGCTGGACTTGCGTTGGATGGCGCCTCCCTTCGTCCATCATTATTTGAGATCCTGGCGTCGCATTTTTCCACAAGTAGGGATTTTGCCTTGTTTCGGGACCTGGGACCCTCACGGGTCGATCCGGCTCGAAAAATGCAGCAGAAAGATGTGGTCCATGTCCAGGGCTCTGGGCGTGATGTTTTTTTGGGGGGGGGAGAGAGAGAGAGAGAGAGAGAGAGAGAGAGAGAGAGAGATAGAGAGAGAGAGAGAGAGAGAGAGAGAGAAAGAGAGAAAGAGAGAAAGAGAGAAAGAGAGAGAGAGAGAGAAATAGAGAGAGAGAGAGGGAGAGAGAAAGAGAGATAGAGAGAGAAAGAGAGAAAGAGAGAGAGAGAGAGAGAGAAAGAGGGAGAGAGAGAGAGAGAGGGAGAGAGAAACGAGAGAGAGAGAGAGAGAAAGAGAGAGAGATAATGACAAATAGAGAGAAAGAGAGAGAGAGAGAAAGAGAGAGAGAGAGAGATAGAGAGAGAGAGAGAGAGGGAAACAACAAATAGCAATAAACGCTTTGCTCATGCCGCCGGTCCATGTCGCCATGGCGTTTTGGGGTCGTGTTGGGGCCTCTTGGGGGCCTCTGGGAGGCAGTTTTGAGGCCCCTTGGGGGCCGTGTTGGGGCCTCTTGGGGCCTCTTGGGCCTTCTTGGGGTGCCGCTTAGGGGCCCCTTGGGGCCTCTTGGGGGCCTCTTGGGCCTCCTGGGGGCCTTTTGGGGCTGAAGGCTGGACTTTTCGGTTCCTGGTTCCCGTCTTGGGCCTCTGGTGGGGCCGTTTTGGGGCCATCTTTGGCGCCTCTTGGGCTGTCTTGGGGCCATCTTGAGCCGTCTTGGGGCCCCATTGGAGCTTCTTGGGCCGTCTTGGGGCTTCTTGAGGCTCTCCTGAGGTTCTCTCGCGGCCTCTGGGGCCATCTAGAGACCATCTTGAGCGTCTTGGAGCGATCTTTCGGCGACTCGGGGCCTCTTGGGCCGTGTAGGGGGCGTCCCGGCGCCCTCTTGGCGCGCTCCTGGAGCGCCCCGGGGGAGTTGGCATCGGCCAGGCGTCGGCCGCGCATCGGCCGGGCATCGTCTGGGGTACCATTCGTCCAGTGGTCCCCAGGGGCCGCCACGCGCGCGCGAACTAGAAATATTGTTAACCTGTTGCTGGAGATCTTAGCGCGCATCTGGCCCGTTGGGCTGGCGTGTTTTTTTCTTTTTGTGTGTGTTTTTTGTTTTCTCGCAGCGTCGGATCACAGGGTTCAGAGGAAGGACAGCTACCGATGCTTCTACACGTGTCTCGTCTTCACGGCTGGTTTCGCCCCGGTTGTCTGGTCGGAACGCACCACAGGCTAGGTCTGGGGAGTAGCGGTCTCGTTTTTTGTTGTTGTTGCTGTTTTTTTTGTTCTTCCCCCCCCCCACCCCCGATCTCGACCTTCATCCTCATGACGCTGTAGCTGGTCTTCCCCCTCCTCTTATCATCGGCCTGTGGTGGCCGGCCTGGAGGACGTCGGTAAGGCAAGGCAGGTCCTTCGTTAGTCCTGCTTGGGTTGCCGCCTTGAGTTCCTTCTGGGTCCCTGTCTATGGTCCAGCACTTGCTTTTCGGAACGCACGCGACGGCCTTTACTCAGGAGGGAAAGAAACACACAGACACAATGAACCGTCGATGCCCATGCAAATATGTGAGAAAATATAGGAAATGAGGGGGGGAAGACGGAAAACCACAAAAAACATGAAAATACGGGGAATTTGTGTCTATTTGTTTTCCATGTACGGTCTGAGTGTGCCTCCCTCCCGCGTCCCCTGCGCCCCCCCCCTCCCCGCGAGCCCTCTGTGCCCAGCTGTGCTCGGGCGCGTCCCGCCGCCGCTCTGCCGCCGCTGGGAGCTCCCACGGCCGCCGACCAAGAAGTTTCCGGTCCAGGTCGGAGCCCTCACGAGGCCTCCGAGGCCCGTCGAACGCGACATCCGAGAAGGCAGGCGCGCTTGAAACATATTCCCCAAGCGGTGTTTGCACGCAGGGCCTTGTGCTTTTGAAATAATGAAGTAAGGAGCTGTGCGTGGGGGTCGGTCTGGCGGCTAGGTCGTCGCCGTCGCCGCCCCGTCGCCGCGCCGTCGCCGCCTCGTCGCCGCCCGTCGTCTTGGCCTGAGGGTCGGTCTTGCGGCTATGTCGTCGCCGTCGCCGCTCCGTCGCCGTCCCGTCGCCGCCCGTCGTTTGGGCCTGTTTTGCTTCGCGTGGTTTTGCGTTGTCATGCGTTGCTTTGCGCCGCATTGCTTCGCATTATTCAAATTTGCACCGCGCATACATTGCACCACGTGGATTGCACAACGTAGACTGGACATTGTAGACTGCACCACGTACATCGTTCCACATCGAATGCGCAGCATGAGTTGCACAGCGCATCGATTGTACCACGTACATTGCACCACGTTGGTTGCACCACGTTGGTTTTGGCAGCATGCGTTGTACCACGCCGGTTGCACTACATGGATTGGTCCACATCGACTGCGCAAGCCATATTATATTATTTGGAGTGGATCACATTGATTTTCCTTTCTAAAAAGAGAATAGACTCTACCCCCCCCCGGACTTAACGCTTCCCCCTGGGATAGTATAGTTTCATATATATATATATATATATATTCTGCACACTCGTCCATCCTCAAGATGAAATCAGACCATCCCAGGCAGGCCGGTTCCCCCACCCCCTGAGGGTCCCTTGTAAGAAGCACTATGCGGTGACATTTTTTGTTCTAAGAAAACACTTTTTCACGAATCCCTTGCAAAAAAATTGACGAAGTGCACACGCGCGCGTCGTCGCGTGCGCATGCCGAAATCCTTCAAAAACCTTCGGTGCCGGAAGGATTTCGCAATCGAGTTTCCAAAAAACATACAAAAACACAGGGTTTCGCAACACTGATTTGCTAAAACAACTTCCGCGCGAGCTCTTGCGAAATCTGAAGGAAACCATGGGTTTTTCAAGATTTTCACAAAATGCTACCAAACGGGCGTCGCGCGCGCATGTCGAAATCTGTCGAACGCCCTTGCGCGTGTGCCGTCGCGAGAATCCTTTGCAAAAAATGGGACGAAGTGCAGACGCGCGCGTCGTCGCGCGCGTACGCCGAAATCCTTCAAAACCCATCGGTTTCGGAAGGATTTCAAAATCGCGCGTCCAAAAAACCTACAAAAACCCAAGGTTTCGCAACACGGATTTTCAACAAAAGCGTGCGCGCGCGCTCTTGCGTCGTCGTCGTCGTCGTCTCCCTCTTCCCTCGTCGTCGTCGTCGTCGTCGTCGCCGTCGTCGTCTTCTGTCTTTCCTCGTCGTCGTCGTCGTCGTCGGGCGTCGTCGTCGCTTCCGTCGTCGTTGTCGCCGTGGTCGTCTTTCCTCCCTCGTCGTCTTCGTCGGCGTTTCGTCGTTGTCCCTCCTATTTCGTCGCCGTCGTCGTCGTCGTCGTCTTCACTCCTCCCTCGTCGTTATCCTCCTCCCTCGTCGTCGTCGTCGTCCGTCGTCGGCGTCTTGTCGTCGTCCCTCCTATTTCGTCGCCGTCGTCGTCGTCTTCGTCGTCGTTGTCGTCGTCTTCGTCTTCCCTCCTCCCTCGTCGTTGTCGTCGTCGGCGTCGTCGTCCTTCCTCCTTCTTCGTCGTTCGCGTCGTCGCCGTCTTCCCTCATCCATCGTCGTTGTCGTCGATGTCGCCGTCGTCGTGCTCCCTCCTACCTCGTCGTCGTCTTCTTTGGCGACGTCGTCGTCGTCTTCGTCGTCGTCGTCGGCGTCGGCGTCGTCGTCGTCTTCGTCGACGTCGACGTCGGCGGTGTCGTCGTAGTCGGTGTCGGCGGCGCCGTCGTCGTCGTTGTCGCTGTCGTCGTCGGCGTCGGTGTCGTGGCCAAGTGCAATGTGGTACCTACCGTCACGGTCTTGTCTTAAGAAGTCTTGCGACCAAGTTGCGGGTGGGTGGGTGGGATGTTTGCGCGAGCAGTGGAGGTGGTCAGGCGCGGTGCAGGGTAGTCAATTCCACCACGTAGATTGCACACGCCTTAGACTGCACATCATATATTGCCCACCATCGGTTGCACAACGTAGATTGCACTACGTGTAGTTTACGCCATCGATTGCAAAACGTTGACCGCTAGAAGCACAGGTGTTTGGTCGCCGCGACGGCCAACATTTTTTTATGACGATCTTGGCCTCTCGGGTCTCCGTTGCCTCTCCGAGCCGTCGCGCGCGTCTTGCGGCGGTGTTGGGGCTTTTGTTTCGGAGGCGTCTTGGAGGCCTCCTTGATTCGCATCGGGCTGATTTGTTGCTCTCCGATGCCATCTTGGGCCCTGCCTGGCTGAGGACGAGGATCAGGAGACGTTCATGACGAGGAGGAGGAGGAGGAGGAGGAAGCGAAGGACGAGCAGGGGCCATGGGTGTAGGGAGGGAGGATCTATGATGAGGACTACTGTATTCTCTTCCGCCCACCACCTTCGTCCCCCCTTCTTCTTCAAAGGCTGCTGTCGGCGTGCTGGCCCCGAGGTTGCCGGACACACCCAAGGCTGCGCATGCTGTCGCGTTGCTGTGCAGCGGTTGCCTTCCAGCGGGCGCACAGGCCACGGGGGGCAGTCCTTTTCCTGCCCCCTTCCCCAGGTTGCTCCTCCTCTTTAGACGTACGCGCTTGCTCCTCCTCTTCTTTCCTCCTCCTTCTCCTCCTGCTCCTCCCCCCCCTTGGCGACGTCGGCGATGCATCGCTGATGCATCGCGATCCTCCGACCCCGTCTGATCGGACCCCGTTTGGGAGGTCTCCATTTCCCAAACTCTTCCCCCTCCTCCACCTCTTGGGCTTCCTCCAGTGCTGCGATCCTCCTCGTCCTTCTCCTCCTCCACCTCCTCCTCCTCCTCCTCTTCCCCCCCTTAGCAGTTTCCCTCTCGAGGGTGGCACAAACACAGTGTCCCCTTGGGAGTTTTGGACAGACTTGGAAGTTGCAATGCCGTCAGGAGCTGATAAGGAGCTCGCAGTGCTGTTGACGGGAATGGGCGTGGAAGTTGGTACGCGTACCCTGAGGAGGCAGGCGACTCCAGGGAATGAGGTACTACAGCTGATGATGAACGGGGGGCCAAGCCAGCGGCCTCTCCCAGCGAGGTTGGAGGCCACCGCAGTGGAAGACCAGATCCACATCCGCTGCGGCAGGAACATGGGCGTCGTAAAGAACGTCGGGTCGGAGACGGTCTGAACTGTGGGTGTAGTTCCTTATCTTCCCTTTTCTTCCCATCTCCTTCTCCTCCTCCTCCTCCTCCTCCTGCTCCTCCTCCTCCTCCTCCTCCTCCTCCTCCTCCTCCTCCTCCTCCTCCTCCTCCCCCGCCTCCTTCTCGGACCTCTGGCTCTCGGTGCGGTGAAGGGCCCTGCCATCAGACGCCAAGAGCCTCAGGAACCGAAGAGGAAGTACAGAACACGGCGAAGGCCTCTGCCATCGGAAGCAGCAGAGCCTCAGGGACCGAATCGTAGGTGGTGCCGCGTGCTGCCATGAGGTGAAGCTTGAGGCTCCGACGCTTGCGAGAGTGCTGGCCAACGTGCTGCCTCACTCCCCATCCCCCGTCTCCTCCTGATTCCTGATTTTGGCTCCGGGCCTCACCCCCCCCATGAACCCGTGTCCCCGAACCTCCCGCGGCCCATGCAGTTTCGGCGACGGCCTGGGGGCCCGAACCAGGGGCCCAGCCTCCCCCAGAGGGCTAAAACGAAGGATTGCAAAACAACCCAGGATTGCAAAAAAAACCTGGATTGCACAAAAACCCAGGGTTGCAAAAAAACCCAGGGTTTTTTGCAATCCTTCGGTTTTTTTTGCAATCCTTCGTTTTTTTGTTTTGTTTGCAATCCTGTTTTTTTTTGCAATCCTTCGTTCAAAAAAGGGCCGCGGGCCACGGGGCAGGTGGGCACCACCGAGGGACCCCGAGGCTCACGCGGGTGGCGCTCGGAGTTGCCTGGTGTCTTCGCCGCTCCGCCCTCCGGCCCCTCCGCCGCGCAAGCGGACGGAGCGGACCCCTAGGACGTCCACGCTGTTCATGTGGGGCCAAGATCCTTTCATTTGATTCTTTGAAAGTTATTTGAAAAGTTATCGACAGTTATTCGATTTTTTCGAAAGTTATCGGGAAGTTATCGGAAGTTATCGAAAAGTTATCGACGTTCACACTAGTTCTTCGAAAGTTATTTGATTTTTTGGGGGGCCAAGATCCTTTCATTTCTACTTGTTCTGTCCTGGGCCTCTTCCTGGCCCCCAGGGGGCCAGGCACACACAATTGGAAACGAGCACAGCTGGAAACTAGCACGATCAGACGTGCACGACGCGCAAGCTCACAGTCCGCCCGGTTCGGCGGCCCTGCGGCTCGTCTGCGGCCGCGGCCCGCCGCGAGAGCCGTCGCGAGCGGGTTGGCGGCTGCGCGGGGCCGCTTGCCGAGGTGGCCTCCCCTGTGCCTTCGTTCGCTGTTTCTCACCACTTTCATATGATCAATCACGTTTTTTTTTGTTTTGTTTTGTTTCTCTTCTTTGGAGAAAAAAGAAGAACGAAGGATGGGCAACTTTCCACAGGGTGCCCTTGCATCCTGGCCTCCTCAGCCCATCCCTGGCCGCTTCTGCTGGCCGCGCCCCGCCCGCGGAGTGCGGGCATGGCCTTCCGAGGCCCCTGCATCCCGATCGCGCGTTCTTCTGGCACGGTCGGCTGTACCGTCAGCAGAGCTGAACTAACTGCGCCACTTGATTGCCCAACGCGCATAGCAGGCCAGGTTCTCTTTTATCACCGACAATGGGTGCGCTTTCAGCGGATGCCACCGCCAGGCCCTTGCATCCCAGTCGCGCGTTCTTCCGATACGGTCAACAGAGCTGAACTAACTGCGCCAATTGATTGTCCAACGCGCATAGCAGGCCAGGTTCTCTTTTATCACAGACAATGGGTGCGCTTTCAGAGGATGCCACCACGTGCATCCAGGGCACAAGACAACCCGGACCAACAGGGACCTGTGGATACTGCTGGAGGGAGATTTAGCAGGCAGATGGAAGGTTGAAACAGTTTTGAGGCGGAAAGCCACCAGCAAACCGCTGGCGTGCAAAAGAACATCCCCCAAGCGTGGCTTGAGGCAAACGACGCAGCAGGCAGGCTAGCCGAAAACGAAGCGAGCACTTGCCACCTCCAGCAGGATGTAACGGGACGTGTCGTTGAACTTGAAAAGGAAGCTCCAGTTGTGCGAATGAGAACTGCCCGTTTAGGCATTCGGTTCGCTTTCACCGAAGAGAGAACGGAGCGCGCCAGAATGCCGTACGTGACAAGCCCCAAGGCCTCCTTAGTAATCAGAAGTTTCAATCAGCTTTGTGACGAGTCCCCCCACGCTGCGGGATTCAACACGCGCGACCAGAAACGAATGTTTTGTGACTCGTGCAAGCAAGCGCCAGCAGCCCGAGACAGAGACGACCTCAAGGACTGGTTCCAGACCCCGTGCAGGCCTTTGGATCGTAGAGGCGACCTCCAGGGGGAGCGGAGCTGACGATCGGCAGCCAAGTGGTGCACGGCACCCACCAGATGAAGTTTTTTGGGTCACAAAAACATGGGCCTGCCTACGGTGTGGAGCAGTGGGCACTGGAGGCGTGATCAAGAGCCGAGTCGAACCATGTAGCGAGCACCTGCAGAAGACAGGGATATCAAACCTGGATGTCTTTGCTAAGGGCAAATGGCCAGGCCACTCAGCTACAGCCGTGGCGTTCAAAGCTGCCAGAGCCAAGCTGGGCCACTGACTTCAACCCCGCGTGCGTGAACGCACCTCGGTGAACATGTCTCGCTCATGGGGATCCAGCGGGTGTTGCTGCTCCTCCTCCTCCTCCCCCGCTCGACGAGGAGAGCGAGAAGGACGAGATATGGGGAGGCAGCAGCGTGAGCTGCCGCGAGAGAGCGGCGGCCGCTTGCGCGAGGCCGGGGCGCGCCGAGCCTGCCTCGCCGCAGCGGTGCACAGCTTGTGCGTGTCACGTGGGTGGACGAGGTCCGAGGCAGCCCCTCGGGAGCCAGCGCGTCCACCGCGTCCGCTGCTGACATCCGGCGCGGGGAGGAGGAGGAGGCGGAGGAGAGAGGGAGGGCAGGTGGAGGGCAGGAGGAGGAGGACGAGGGCCTCCTCCTCCTCCCCTGCCCCCTGCCGTTTTTTCCCTTTCCCCTCCCCCCCCCCCCCCCTGCTCTCCTTCCAGCCCTCCCTCCCTCCCCCCCTCCGTCGCCCTGGGCTCCCTCGGTCGTCCCTCCTCCCTCTGCGCTCTGAGCCACGGCTGGCCGCGCCGGCTGTTTCTGCCGAGCTCCGCCCGCTGTCGGCTTCGAACCGCGACGGTGCCCCATCGCGGGCTCAAACCTCCGACGCCGTGCATCTCCTTCACAGCGTGGATCCTCAGAGCGTCGGACCCCTTCCCCAGGACTTGGTGACTTGGTTCTTCGTCCCAGGTCGGGCTTGGAAGGCCCCGGTGCCCGTCAAGGGGCCCCAGAGGCGCCGAACATGGCCGCAGAGCTCCCGCCGTGCCTCTTCTTGTGGCTCGATGGGAGCGTCGCGTGCCCAGCACCATGCACGGCCGACTTCGGACGCTGCCTGCTGCTCGGCACCGCCCCCCCGATCTCCGCCCCTGCCCCGCGCGCGCCAGAGGCCGCGGACGGGCGCGCCTCCTTCGCGGCCGTCGCGGTGTCTGACCGCGTCGCCGTGTGGCAGCCGCTCGCGGGCTTCTCCGTCGCGGCGGTCGCCATCGGCTTCGTGCTCTGGAGGTACCGGGCCGCCGGGGAGGCGCGCGACCGCCGCCTGGACAAGGTCCGTGCGGCACCGCGCGGCCCAGAGCGCCGACGGCACGACTTTTCCACCCGGCGCGGTTTTTCCTCGGCGTCTCGGCCCTCGGGGGAGGAGGAGGAGGAGGAGGAGGAGGAGGAGGAGGAGGAGGAGGAGGAGGAGGAGGAGGAGGAGGAGGAGGAGGAGGAGGCCGTGTTCGGGCCCCCAGGCAGTCAAGCTTGCTTCGGGGACGAGCTTGCTCTGGGGACGATGTGTTGGACTCTATTTGATTCTTTTGGGGGTATTGTTTTTGACTATTTTTTGACGTCTCGTGCAAGGTCCGCCCGTAGGAGGACTCAGGCCCGACCTAGAACTGCACCTGGGGAAGCGGTCGGGACTTCCCCTTGGGGCCGCGGATGGGAAAACGTGCCAGCGGATTCCGGGGGCGCCCTCGAGGGCGCGAAGTTATTCGCGCTTCGCGCGTCGCGCTTCGGCTCCGATTCCTCCTCATCCTCCTCTTCCCTGGGAGGCGGCGCGAGAGCGCGAAGATGTTCGCGCTTCGCGCTCCGCGCCGCGCGGAGCGCGAAGTTGGGAGGAGGCCCGGGGAAGGGGTCGGGGCGAGGGCGGGCGGCCCCCCCAAAGGGCCAGGGGGCGGGCCCCGCGCCTCGAGGGAGGCCTCCAGGAGAATCAATCTCTTCTCGGCAGCACCCCAACATACTTATACTATATGTGCGTCGCCCTCCCAGGGGCGACGCGCGCACCGAGGAATCTTATAGTATATGCGTCGTGGCGGGCGCATTCTGGCCACACCGCTCGGGAAACGATATACTACAAGATGGGTATACTATATGTTCGGGTCGGACGCGCGCGTCCAAGGAGGACATATAGTACTAGTACGTCTTTGTGCATCCCATCTTCGAGGAGGCCGAGGGGGGGCCTCTGATGGGGCAGGGTGCCCGGCTGCAGACCTCACCGGGCGCGCTCCACCATTTGCAGAGTGCCTACTCGCGAACGTCAGAGAGAGATGCATGTCTGCTGTGATGTGATTCGTCGTAGATCCCCCGCGGGGATCCAGGCCGTTTGCGAGTAGTTCCTTTGCGAGCAGTGGAACGCGCTCGTCTAAGACCTCCGGCGTGATGCTTTCTTCCCTATGGTCCCCTTCGTGCACCCCCGGAGAGGGGCCGAAAACTGCGACACGAGAGCCCTCGTCGTCGTGCTTCTCGGGTCGGGTGCAGGGGGATTCGGAAAGGGGGTGCTGCGACTCTGCTGCGTGCAGCTATGATGGGCCTGCTTTCCTCCACCACCACCACCATGAATTGGAGGGGGGAAGGAGGAGGAGGAGGAGGAGGAGGAGGAGGAGGAGGAGGAGGAGGAGGAGGAGGAGGAGGAGGAGAGGAGGAGGAGGGAGGAGGAGGAGGAGGAGGAGGAGGAGGAGGAGGAGGAGGAGGAGGAGGGAGGACCCCCTCCCCCTCCAACTTATGGTGGTGGTGGTGGTGGTGGAAAACAGGCCCAGCAAGCTAGTTGCACCCTCGCTGCCGGGCGCAGCTCTCGATCCAGTGGCGCCTCCGGCTCCGGGAGGCGCTGGGCGGGGCCATCCGGCTGTAGTTGCGTGAGCTGGTTCGCTGGCCTTTCTTTTGCCGTCCCTGCTGTGGCCCGAAATTCTCTCACGTCGCGAGGAGGCCTGGGTCGGAAGGCCACCCCGTCACGCCGTCTCCCTGAGGTCCGACGTTGGTGAACAAACATCAGCGTCGCGAAGAGTCCCGACCAGAGCCTCAGGGACCCCATCTTTCCGAAGAGCTGCTTCGGCCGGATCGATCTGTGATGGTACCGGCCATGGGCCCGAATCCGAGCGAAAACGCCGTGTGAGGAGGAGGAGGCGGCGGAGGAGGGGGAGGGGGAGAGGGAGGAGGAGGACAAGGAGGATAAGGAGGGGGACAAGGAGGATAAGGAGGAGGAGGAGGAGGAGGAGGAGGAGGGAGGGACATAGAGGGAGGAGGAGGAGGAGGAGGAGGAGGAGGGAGGAGGAGGAGGAGGAGGAGGAGGAGGAGAGGAGAGGGGGAGGGAGGAGGAGGAGGGGGACAAGGAGGATAAGGAGGGGGACAAGGATGAGGAGGAGGAGGAGGAGGAGGAGGAGGAGGAGGATGAGGCTTTTTCGACTCGAGGGCGTCGTGGGCCACAGCCTGACCTGTGAGGGCGCAGGGTGCGCACAGGCGGGCCCAGAGCCCCCGGCCGACGGGTCGCGCGAGCGTCTCTCGCCCCCGATTCGGCCAATCGCCATTTCTCAGCAGGGGAAAACACACAGGAGGGGAAAAAACACACAGACACAATTAATCCTCGATTCCCTGGAAAATATGGGAAAATATGGGAAGTGGGGGGGAAGACAAAAACCCAGAAAATATGCGAAAATATGGGGGATTATTTTATTTGTGTCTATTTATTTGTGTGTCCTGGGGCCCCTTCAAACACACACAGACACAATGAACCGTCGATTCCCCAAGAAATATGGGAAAAGATGGGAAGTGTGGGGGGGGGGACGACAGAAACCCAGAAACTATAGGGGAAATACGGGAGATCTGGTTCTGTGTGTTTCTCTATTTGTGTGTGTCCCGGTTCCCCTTCAATTTCGGCAGGTACAGTCGGGGCCCTGAAGAAGGAGCCCTTTTCGTTTCCGAGGGGCTCCGTGTTCCGTGATTGCTTCACAGCTTGCCTCAGGCTTTCCTTAGGCTTTCGATGGGAAGCATCGAACCTTTCACTGATGGGAGAAAGGAGCCTCGTTCCTGACTTAGGGTTCCTTAGGTCAACGTCCCGACTGGAAGGGTGATGCCTGAGGGGAAGATGGAGGACTATTGAAAGAGGGATGGAGGATAGGCAACACCTTGGAAAGCTAGGTCGGCACGCACATGGGCTCGTTGATCATCTTGTTATGGACAGCAACTGGGCCTGTAGAAACTTTTGCTAGATGAAGCGTGATCTGACTGGGAGCGCCCATCATATTAGGTAGTCCGTCAAGGGCCGGAATGGGAGTGTAGATCCGAAATTGCATTGAGTCTCTATGGCCGCATTCCCTATTTCGAACGAGGTAGGGAGGTTCCCTGCGCCTGCTTGAAATGAGATGGGGAAGTGAGAAGCTTCTTGAGGGGAGGGAAGGAGGTGGGGCGGTTGCTGACACCCGCTTGAGGCGCTGCGGCTCATGCAACCAGTGTGGGCGTGCCGACTGGGTCCTTCCCTGCCCTGGCAGTGTCCCACCCGACTTTGCCACTTAAAGACAGACGCCTGTGCACGATAGGCAATTCGACGGGCACTCTTGATGATCCAAGAGAAACAACATTGTGGTATTACTGGCAAGTGTGGTTGGGTGGTCTCAAAATGAGGGAAAGGGGAGGTTTCGAAGGAGAGGAGCGTGTGTGTGTGTGTGTGTGTGTGTGTGTGTGTGTGTGTGTGTGTGTGTGCGCGTGTGTGTGTGTGTGTGTGTGTGTGTGTGTGTGGTGTGTGTGTGTGTGTGTGTGTGTGTGTGTGTGTGTGTGTGTGTGTGTGTGCGCGCGCGTGTGTGTGTGTGTGTGTGATCCACTCGCGCGCTATGTAAGGCACAGCTCTGGTCCCTCGGCTGAGGCTATTTGCGGCAAGCGAACTTAGTAGGAGGAGGGAGGGCACGGCTTGGACATTCATCAAGGGGAGGGAAGGAGGTGGAGACTTTGTGGGCACTCGCCTGAGCCGCTGCGGCTCATGCAACCTGTCTGTGTGGACGGCCTGGCTGGTTCCTTCCCTGCCTTGGCACTGTCCGACTGGACCTTGCCACTTAATAGCCAGGTGTCACTGCACGCTGGGCAGTGCGACGGTCATTCCTTTCGAGCCAAGATAGACTAATGCGATAGTGCTGGCATGCGCGGTTGGGTGGTCACGAAGTGAGAGGAGGATACCATGACGGACAAGGGAATGCGTGTGATCCACTCGTGCACCGTGCCACTCGTAACCCGTGTCCCTCGGCAGCCCTAGACCGTCGTTGAGGTCCTTGCGCTTCGACGAATTGCTTGGGCACAGCGAACGGAACAAACAGGAGAGAAAGAAGGCACAGCTTTGACACACATACAACTCTACCCATCTATGATATATGAGAGTCTGCTTGCACACAAGACTGCCGATGACGAACGCGCACCCCGCCTCGAATTTATGTTAACTTGACGGTATTATCGCCTGCGTTGGCTGGCGATGAAATCAGACATGGCGGGGCTTGAGATGTCACGCTGTCGCTTGAGCGGAATCGCCTGCTGCCTGCCTCGAATGTATGGCTTGGGCGAACTTGTATGATTAAGCCTTGGCGGTCTTGGCTGGCGCGGGAGAGGGAGGAGTCAATGAGGGAGAAAGGAACTGGCAGCGACTGGCCATCTTCCCACTCCAGACCGGTGACGGCTACGAGGGAGCGCGAGTGCACTCTAAGCATCTCCTCCACCTCCGCGATGGACGGTAGCCCAGGGGTTTGCACCCATTCCCAATCCCACTCCTCTTAGGCCTGGCTGTCGCGCATGGTTATCCCAACCAGCTTCCATACGAACGGGCAGGTCATGCCGTTTGGCAGCTTCCAGCCTCCCGGGCAGATGGTGGGCCATTTCTTGCGGAAGCGGCGGGTGAGGGCTTTGCGCGACGAGCCTTGCCACCGGTTGCCCTGTAAAGTGTCCTCCATCGGCGAGGGTGCAGCATGCTCCTGACCCGCCGTCATCGCTTGCGACGCGCCAGGGGACGAGGGGGCCGCCATGGCAATCTTTGAGAGAGAGAGAGGGAGATAGCGAAACACAGAGAGCGGTGGATGCTACTCCGAAAGGCGTTGGGCCGTGAAAATGGCAGTGGGGGAGACGAGGAACAAGATACAAGAGCGCTTCCCGTGTGTGCACCAGGGCAACCTGACAATCTACCTAGAGACTGGTATTGCATTGCAGCGGAGGGGAGGAGGAGGAGGAGGAGGAGGAGGAAGAGGAGGAAGAGGAGGAGGAGGAGGAGGAGGAGGAGGAGGAGGAGAAGGAGGCGGAGGAGTTTTCCAGTGCGCCGCGCGTG